TGATAAATGGAGTGGAGGAGGAATAATGAGTGGAAAAATAGAAAGTGGATAAGAAGAAGCCTCTGAGGAAGAGGTAGAGTACCAATGAGGAACCTAGTTCCTCCAAAAGGGCAATGGTAGAGTTATCTAAGTTAGAAAGAAGGGCCAACCTAAAAGAGAAAAAGTATTGTGGGGTAATGTGCTTGAAACTGAGATAAATGAACAACTAAGAATGAGACAACTTGTGAAAATTGTTGAATTCCAAAACTGGACCCATCTTTTTGAAATCCATAGTCCAAAGGTGTATGAAGATGAAGTAATAAGCTTTTATGTTGGACTGTTCATGGTAGATAGGGACACACTCTATCTGAAGATGTATGGAAAATACTTTATTATGAATGAGGAAACACTTGGAGAGATCTTTGATGTACCCACTGATGGGTTGAAAACTGTGGAGGGAACTGGTTCCCTGATTTTAAGAAGTTGATCATCAAGAAGCAAGTAGTTTGGTCGAGGGAAAGAGTGTACAAGAAAGCTCTTCAGCAAGAATACCAGCTATTGTTTGAGCTGGTGAACAAGGTGATACTGCCTAGGGCTGAGAGAATATCTATCACCTCAATTGCGGACCTGGTTCTCCTAGAAGCACCGGTATCCTTATAATCTATTAGTCTTCCTGGCATCATGATTGAATACATACTGAAGGTGGCAGACTTTAAGGATGGTAATCATGGTCTTCCTTACGGATTCCTCCTTACCAAGGTCTTTGAGAACTTTGAGGTTCCATTGGGAAAAGCGTATGTGGGGACTAGAAAGCAGATGTTCACCATGAGTACCCTGGAAGTGTGTAAGTGTGTGGTGAAGAAGGGAGGTGTGGGGAGCAACTCAACTATTTCTCAATTGATTGATGCTTAGGAGTCCGTTAATGAAGAGACCAAGCGCCTTAAAGCTCAAAATGTTATTTTGCACTCCAAGATTACTCAGGCCAGCAAAGAACCTGGTTCAAAGTTCCAACAGCTCCCAGGAGAAGAGATTTCCAATTTGAAGGCTGAGAATGCTGAGTTGAGGAAACAAGTTGAGAACATGAATGAGCAGTTGATCGATAATCAAAAATGAAAGAGTGGATCGTCTCATCAAGGATCTTTCTCCCTAATTTTTGCTATCCCATATCCAATGTCCATTGCTTTTGAAACCCTTCCTATACTACTCTACTCCTATCCTCCTTTTTGTTTTTACTAATTAATGATTGCGGTACTTTAGTGGTTAATTTGTAATATATGTGTGATTGTTACTATTGTTCCTATGTTTTTATCCTAACTTAGTGGGCATGACTATCTATTTTGTGCAATGTTAATCTCTTGTGTTCTGTTTTTAGCCATGTTGTGTGCACACAAGTGGCATGAGTTAATGTTGTTGGACTTATTTTTGCATGTGCTTATTATATCTTCTTTTCAATGATTCCAAAAGGGGGAAGATAATTGAGGGGGTAACAAGAATCTGGTTCTCAAGGGGAAGGCGTCTGATACGTACGGGGAACATGCGGAGAATCTGGTTGTCGATGAAAATATCAACTCAGAGTTTATCATTATCAAAAAAGGATAAATTGATAAGTTATGTGATTATGGTTTTGATGATTGTCAAACTTTGTTGAGCAACCAAATAGGAACCTGATACAAATGAGTTCCATTGCGTCTAGTGGACATGCTAAGTTGTTTGTTCAAAATATTGAGAAACCAGAAAAGGGAACAGATAAAGGAACAGATGGGATTAGTTCTTTCAACTGTCGTACAGTCAACTCTACAGTTGTAAAAGTTGTTTCCCTGTACCAACTGGTAGCAGAGCAGCGACAGAGCCGCTGCCGCTAGAGGCCAAATCAAAAGCTGAAATGTCTCTGTCTCTTCACACATGCTCTCTCATATAGAAACAACATTATACAAGGGTTGAGAATCTGAAAAACCCTATCATTTAAGTGAGAGCCGCTAGTGTTTCCTCCAGGTGCACTCAAGAATAAAGCTGCTACAAATCAAGGACCGGATCCCAACACTGAAGATGTCTTGAATCTTTAAGTTTGTTGTGTCTTTGTCTTCTTCTTTTTTTACTTGTATTCCTACACGGCTTTTTAGAAGTATTTCGTATGATAACATTTAATCATTATTATTTTTGTTGTTTGACTAGAGTTAGTCAATAGTGTTGCTTTATAATAGAGTTATTGCAAAGGCTTACAATAGTTATTGTAAGGGGTGAGAGATTAAAAGTTTGATTCCTAGATTGCAATAGGTTATAATATGAAGTTTGCTTAGTTTAGTGAAGTTGAAATCCTACTGGGGTAGGTCGTGATTTTTAATACCTTGAGCAAGGAGTTTTCCACGTAAATATTATGTGTTATTTATTTAGTGCTTGTTTACTGTGGAACTGATAGAGAACCTGGTTCTCTATACTGTTTGGTGGACCCTTAGTTTCAATCAATATATTCAGACTTCAATTACTATCATACATAAATTATTTTTTTATGTACAATATTTTATTTATTGACGCAGGAACACATACAACGCACGTACTCTAAACTAGTTATTTAAAAAGTATTTAGTTTACAGATTTCTTCAGTTTGAGTCTGAACACGTTTGCTTTACACTTTTTGTTGTTGTGCTATCATGCCTATTTATTTTTATTTTTACAGCATTTTAGACAAAAAAAAAATAAGTTGATGGTCTTGATAAAAACATATCTTTTGAATATTTTTGAATTCAACAATTAAGGATACTTTGTAAATTCAATTAGGTGTTTCCCTATGCGCGGGAAAATTTAATAGAACGGTATTATCTCTAACTCTCCTCTTAAGCTTAATTAATTAATCACAGAGTAAAATTGCTCCAAATCAAATGGCAAAGAGGTAATATTGAATAATCGGACAAGATGATTAAGTTGTAGAAAAATTGTCACATCGTTTTTTCATATTTGGTGCCCGTTCATATAAAGGGTTAAATATATTATAGTGTTATTTATTCATTTTTGGACAACTGAGGTAACGTCATGGACTTTTCTATCTCAATAATATAACGAAAGATAAAATTGAGCATTACAAATAGTAGAGAGGTGAATTCAGTCCTTTTCCTTTTCCTATTTTTGTTTTTTGCACACCCATGTATTTACCGTATGTGAACTTTTACTAACAAAAAACTCAAATGAAGTACAATATAAAGAGGACCAAACTTTACCTTGCTAATTCTAGTGAGGGACGAGAAGTACTATCGCTCAACAAGCATGCAAAAAACTAAGAACAAAATAAAATTATGTAATCATCACAGAGTTTGTATCATACTCAATAATGATATTACAAAGAGTGATGTTTAAAAAATAAAATGAAATAAAACCAATGAAGAAAGTGAAGTGTATGATGTAACTAAATAAAAATGTGAAACAGCCCAGGCCAATTTTTCTAGCTTGATGCAATTATTCATTTTGTGATTCTTGGTCATATTCTTTCGGTCTCTCTTCAAAAATATTAGAGACATATCCGCAAACCTAGCAATAGCGCATAGTTTTGTGAAATGAATTCTTCATCTGTATTTAAGTAATCTGTAAAAGATAATTCATTTCCTCTCGGTGTTATATCTACAGTATGCGAAGTCTGTCTTGATGAAAATTGCTCAAAATTGTGGCACTGATAAAGGGGGGAAAAGAAGCAGCTCGAACAATTAAATTATCCACTTGCAATAGTTTTTCTTTTGTTGAAATATGCTCTTGAACTTGTACCAGTTGACTAAGTAAAAAAAGAGTGCAGCTTTAATTAGATCTTTAACGTGTAGATCCCTTCAAATGATTTGATTCATCCTCGAACTCTCACCAGACTATATCTAGTTGAGGTTTAGTAGTCAGTCCAACCTCAACTCTGTCTTCAGCCATGCTAGGTTGAGTTCTGCAATCAGTTGTAGCATTCATGGATAATGGCTTCCCAACTGGACTTAGAATGTATTTGCTTAACAAATTCTATGTGTGTAAATGGAAACGTAGTTCGAACGGGTAATTGTTAGGTTTTGTTAATTAAAACAAGAGAGGTGTGAATGGAAAAATGGTGGGAAAAGAAATGGAGGGAAATGAAATTTTGAATTAGTTCATTTTACAAAGGAAAAATTTTTGTGCTTCTATATGGAAGCTTCGGCTTCGGATTCGGATTGATTGATAATTTTTTGGACCAAATTTAATTTCCTTTTCCGTCATTTACTATTTTCTTTTCTAATATTTTTACGCAAAAAAAAATATGAATTTGGAAATTCACGGAATTATTTTCCAACGGTCGAATTCGCGATCAAACATTCCATTCAACAGAAATTCAAATAATTTTTGCGGAATAGACACCTTATCAACGAACAAACACCTTTGCACCTGTTGAGACTCAACTTCGTTGGCTATAAATAGAGAGGCTTAGCCGCATTTTCCTCCATCGAAATCTTAAAATCTCTCCCCTCTATCTTCTGGATTATGCATTATTTTTCAACGCAAAAGCGTAAGCATTTTGTGTGATTTGCTCCGCCATTTGAGTTCACCGAAATTCTGGGATTTGAAGTGTAGTTATCACAGAATAGTTACTCCGTTCTATCATGTGAGGAATTAATCTGAAATCTTTGGCAACTATGAGGGGATTAAATTCCTTAAAGGCACACAAGAAACTTGTGAGCTCGAAATTTTCTGTTTTATTTTTTTAAACTAACGTCACTACTGGAAAATGAGCCTATGGCAACGGAAGTTTCCGCAACGGTTACACACTGTTGCCACAGATCCTCTATTGCAACGGTTTTAACCGTTACCAAAGATTTTGGATGCTATTAGTACACTTTAGCACCAAACCGTTGCCATTGTATAATAACTGTTGCCATACGTTTTCCTATATTCACGGTTTCTTTAACTGTTACAATATATCTATCAGTGGCTACGGTTTTTTCCAAAAAATATTTATAGGAACGGTTATTGTTCCCTCCTAAATTTTTTCGCTTAGCCCGCCAGATCAAGTACTCTTTCTTTAAACCTCTTTACCTTTTTTATTTTATTTTTAATATGTAATAGATAGTCAAAACCCACAATTTTTATTTATTTTCTAAATAAAAGTAGATGTGGCCTAGCTCCACTTACGTTTTCCCTAAAACTGAACCCTTTTCACTTTTCCTTTAGCTCCAATCAAGTATTCCCCCAATTACTCTAATCCCTGGTACCCATTTTCCTCTTTTCATTTCACTCTAGCTCCAGTCACATTTTCCCCAAATCTGAACCCTTTTCACTTTTCCCTTATCTCCAATTACGTTTTCGGTTTTTCCCAAATCACTCTAATCCCTCAGACCCATTTTTCCCTTTTAATTTCACTCTTTGAAATCTCTCAAATCCAGTTGTCCTGTGAGAGATCTCCAGAAGATCTATGTCCGTTTTGCTAACATTCAGGCTATCTGCTCAGCATCGTCTTATTCAACCCACGAACTCGGCAGTCGGTGATTTTTATAGCAAAAAATCTTCAACGCAAAAGGCACTCCGTGAGAAACTGATTTTAGCTGTAAGTTTTTCTTTTTCAATTTGGGTATTTTCTTCTTTAATCATTCTTTTTTACTATAATATTTAGGGTGTGGTAGTGTATTTAATATCTTGCTTTCTGTTGATTTTTTGAACCCCAATTGTTAGGGTTTTATTTTCGTTAGGGTGTGGCTAGTGTGAGTCTAAATTTTTAGAACTAATGTTCCTGTAGATAATCTGCCAAAGATGACTTTTCAAAAAGGTCAATCTTTTAGTTATGTTTGCTTTAGACATCTTGAAATTATTGACACTCTTATCTTAGTCTATTTTTCTGTATTGCATTCACTCTATATTTGGATTTTTCCAGAAATTGACTCTAAACATTAGTATATGAATTTATGCTATCAATTGGCATAAACTATGCTTCATAAGGTCTTTGAGTAGAATTTAGATGCCATTCTGGCAGGGTGTAATCTATGAAAATTTCTTATCGTTCATTACTAGTTTGTCGAGTTGGTAAATCTGCTCTAACTTTAGAGTGTCAACTCCTGAGTTTTCGAATGCTCGAGAGTGTTATGGCTCATGATATGGTTCTGAAAGTCTTAAATTCAGTATTAAGGTAAATGCTTAAAAAATTAAACTAGTTGTACTACCTCACTCAAATCCAAAATTTATTTCATGAGATGAGAATTGCCCAAAATCATATGAGAAAATAATTATTCATTCGCTCGATCGTGCAGCCTTAACAATTGTCGACTATAGAAAGAAGTATCATTGCTTCATGCTAGGTGTAGCTGCAATCAAACATGTCAAATTATGCCTATTTACTAGCTATGATTGGTTTGTCTTAATTAGCAACCAAGTTTGGAGCTTTGCGCTCAAGTCGTGTGATAATTTTTCGTGAAGTGATCATTCAGTAAGTTTCTAAAGGAAAAGCATGACCAGGAAAATGATTAGAAAATTACTGTTAATGTCAATCTAATAGTCAAGATTACTGTCCCTATACATCAAAAAAAAATTATTCTTTTTGAGTATTAAGAAACTTATATAGATTTCTACAACATATGAGATTAGGATTGTTCCTTTAGAGTTTTCGATTTGCTACAAACAGTAAAAGAGATAAAGGTAAGTAGGTTTTATACTAACCTAATTGCACTAATTTTTTAGAAAAAATATGATATTCCTGATGATGCGAAAATATGGGCTTTTGAATCAATTCGTACTCCTTGGAGAAAGTATAAGAATCAGTTGAAGAAAAACCACTTTAAAGCCTATGAGAATGACTAGCATCGAATGGAGAATAGGCCGGTAGATGTTCCGGAGTATCACTTTAAGGATCTTCTTAGATATCGGAACTCCGATCCGGTAATGGTAATAATTTAGCGCAATTTTAGTTTTCCAAATAGCTAGCCATACTTCTAACATTCTTCACTGTTTCTGGGCTAAGAAAAGCTGAAATTTATGTCTTAGCGGTTGGAAAAGGATTTTGAAATACAGTTGGTTTCAGATCCAAATCTGGTTGTGTGCGGGTACATGGCCTCTCACATGTTAACCTGGACTGTATTCAGCCAAAAATAATTTTTTTTCTACTAGTACAAACAAAATTTGAACAAATAGAAACAGTGAACACACAAATGAAAATGTTTTCAAGTTTCCCTGCTTGAGATTCCACTACTTAACATCAAATGTTTACAAGTATAAACTTGCATGATATAAGGTATTAGAGAAGGATGAAATCACATCAACTCTGCTAACTATCGGTGAACAGACACACTAGCCACAAAGCCCATAATCAAAGAGTATGCTTAATTGGAAAACTAAAATGTCTCCTTCACATGTTGGCAAAGGATGTAAAATGCAGTTAGTCACATGATAATGCTCGAGTTTCTCTCCATGAGTACAAACTTAGTATACTTATACATTGTTTTAAAAAAAATTCAACTTTGTAGCTCAAGCAGAACACGCTGTGTGATCATACTGGTGGGGAACTGATATAATCCACCTTGATTTCTCCTTATGATATACAACTGATTGGCTGTCACATTGTTGAAGCATTAGTTGGGCATCACTTTTCTGGTAACATTGTTGAAGAAATAAGAAACTTTGTATTTTGTTGACTAATCCTTTGATCTTGTTGTTTATTTATATACCCTTTAATTATTAATAGAGTTGAATGTTATCGATGTTCGTTTGGGATTCCGAGCCTGGGAATAGCTCCGTATTGTGATTCTGGTCTTAAGAGCTATTTGGTTGACTCATTTATTTGCAGAAAATGTCCACAATCGTCCATATGTTTGTAACAATCAAGGTATGTCCGTACCAAATGTTATACCTCTTCTCTTTCTTCTTCTCCTCCTCTTTTTTATGTTGTCCCTGTTACATTTTTCACTGTTACCAACTAATCTGTGTGTTCAGTGGGGTTTGATATCAAAACCTTCGAGCAGTGAATTTCATTTACGTTCTTTACAGCATAGCCTGTGAATCAACTTCTAGGGAGTCAATTGATCTAGTCTAGGGACGTGATACATGACTATAAGAACTAATGTTTTACATGTTTGATAACTAGCTTTTCTTTGAATATTTTCATGCATAATGCACAATATTTTATAAACTGTCACATATTCGTATCTTTAGGTAAGTGAAACACCCTTCAAATTCTTGTTTGATGCACTCCCTTGGTTTTTTGGACTAAGAGAATGTTTAGACCTGATTCTCTTGAAGGATAATGACTTTATTTATACTCTTTTGTAGGTGGAGTAGATGAAGAAATGGAAGACGGAGACAGTGAAGATCTAGAAATGTTTGTTATTAACATTTGAAACTTACTTTTAACTCTTGAAATGTAAGAGTTATGTACTTGGGGTAGAACATTTCACTCTTATGGATATTATTAGCTTGTTGGACAATTTAGATTATGAATAGTTTCATTTTGTTATTTATATAAGTTTTTGTGTTTTATAATTTATTTTATATGTAAATATTTATTTACAACAGGGGCAATATGTTTGTTTCAATTAAACGGTTACAATAGCCCACCAGAACCATTGCAATAGCTTAAAGAAATGGTTGTCATTTCCATAAATAGCCGTAACAATACCTTACATAACCGTTGCAGTACACGCTATGGTAACGGTTATGAACCGTTGCATTAAATGTTATGGTAACGGATTTTAACCGTTGCAGTTGATACGAATAGTCGTTCCAATAGGGAGAGGAAAAACCGTTGCGATAGACCATTTTATAGCAACGGTTATATGAACCGTTGCAAGAATCGTTCCTTAAGCTCTATTGGCACGCGAGCTGGTAGAACGGGCGCTGAACCGTTGCAATAGCTTAAAGAAACTGTTGTCATTTCCATAAATAGTCGTAATAATACCTTACATAACCGTTGCAGTACACGTTATGGTAACGGTTATGAACCGTTGCATTAAATGTTATGGTAACGGATTTTAATCGTTGCAGTTAACACGAATAGTCGTTCCAATGGGAAATTTCGCGATCGCGATGTGTAATCACTAGGCGGACCATTAAAATATCAAAATCGAGGATTTGAACCCATTTCTCATATTTTGAGCTAGAGACCTTGGATTTGGGCGATTCTTAAAGATATTTTCAAGGAGTTAATTAGAGTAAGTGATTCTAACTCATATTTGGTTAATATATATGAATCTATCATTGTTTTTATCATTTAATTAGTATTTTGGGTTGAAAAAATTGGGAAAATTTGTAGAAACCTCATAGACTTAATTTGAGAATTTGAAGGTCGAGTTGTGATCGGAATTAAGTAATTTTGCTATGATTGGACTCGATGTTTAATGTGTGTTCGAATTTTATTAATTTTGTCGGATTCCGAGACGTGGGTCCGGGATTGACTTTTTGGATTGACTTTTTGACTTTTGTTAAAGAACCTAGCTTTATCATATGGAATCGATTCATATGGTTTGTGTTGATTGTATTAAGTTGTTTGTGACTAGATTTAAGTCGTTCGGAGGCTGACTCGCGAGGCAAGGGCTTGTTGGAGTAGGGATTTACGCAGTTTGAGGTAAGTAACACTTCTAAACATGATTCTGAGGGAATAAATCCCGGAAATATGTGTTATATGGTTGGTGTTGAGGTGACGCACATTCTAGGTGACAGGCGTGTGGGCGTGCACCGTGGTAATTGTGACTCGGTTGATCCCGTGGTACTGTATAGTTATCAAACCTTGTTGCTATTCATGAAACTCCTACTTGTTAGAGTAATTAGGCTACAACCTATGTTAGAAACCATGCTTAGACTATATGCTTGTTCTGTTAGGACCAACGGAGGTCACTTCTATTGTTGATTATTTGCTTAAATTGCAATTATGTACTCAGTCACATCTATCATTTGCACATCATATCTCAGTCTCTGTTTCCATTTATTATTATGTCATATTATTATTGTTTGGGCTTATTGTCATGAGATTTGTGAGCATAAGTAACCGGAGAGATTGAGGGTTGAGTGAGGCCGAGGGCCTAATTGTGAATGATATTTATGGGATCGGGTTGCACGCCACAGCAGGCTTTATTGATTCATGCCATGATTAGCTTATATTAGCGCTTGAGCAGGATACGCCCCTATGGAGGTTGACATACCAATAGTCAGCGCATGTACCTACTAAGTGCGAGTGCCGAGTGATTGAGAGTGTTGAGTGACTGAGTGACTGAGAGTGCTGTGTGACTGGGAGTACTGAGTGATTGAGCATGCTAAGTGATATTGGATACACCGAGAGTATGTATATGACTTGATCTCTCTGTTGTATTACAGTTGACATGCATACTTGACATGTAGATACCGAGATGTGACATTCCTCATATTAGTCATACTTGGCATATTCTATATGTGTTGTCCTCAAACTGTTAAAAAAACTAGAAAACATGTCTTTATTTCTGTACTACCTATAAACTGATTATTAGATTCCTCTCTGAGTTATTATTCTTATTATATGGAATTGGACCGCACCTATCTGAGCACGTCACTGCTTTCAGCCCAAGGTTAGTCCTATTACTTATTGAGTACATTGGGTTGGTTGTACTCATACTATACTCTACACTTCGTGTGCAAATCTAGGTACTTCTAGGCACGACAGTTGCTAGATTTGGCGCTTCATCTATTTGGAGACTATTGAGGTAGCTGCCTTGGCGTCCGTAGATCTCGATTCTCCTTCTTTTCATTTTATTTGCATTGTTCTATCTTTCCATACATTTGTTTTAGCAGTTAGATTGTATTGTCATTTAGATGTTCATGTACTTAGTGACATCCGAATTTTGGGAATGTTGTATTTGAGTCGTAGTATTTCTTATCGGCTATTTATGAGAGTTATTACTGTTAAACCTGTTTCATCTTGTTTTCAATTTAAAAATGCGTAGTTATTTATGATTGTCGACTTGCCTAGTACTGTGATAGGCGCCATCATGACATATTGAGTTTTGGGTCGTGATAATTATTCAGGCACTACTTGTGTCATGTGCCTTCTAGACAAACAATTAGCTCTTCGGGAGCTTTTGATAAATGGAGCGGAGGAGGAAGAATGAGTGGAAAAATAGAAAGTGGAGAAGAAGAAGCCTCTGAGGAAGAGGCAGAGTACCAATGAGGAACCTAGTTCCTCCAAAAGGGCAATGGTAGAGTTATCTAAGTTAGAAAGAAGGGCCAACCTAAAAAAGAAAAAGTATTGTGGGGTAATGTGCTTGAAACTGAGATAAATGAACAACTAAGAATGAGACAACTTGTGAAAATTGTTGAATTCCAAAAGTGGACCCATCTTTTTGAAATCCATAGTCCAAAGGTGTATGAAGATGAAGTAATAAGCTTTTATGTTGGACTGTTCGTGGTAGATAGGGACACACTCTATCTGAAGATGTATGGAAAAGACTTTATTATGAATGAGGAAACACTTGGAGAGATCTTTGATGTACCCACTGATGGGTTGAAAACTGTGGAGGGAATTGGTTCCCTGATTTTAAAAAGTTGATCATCAAGAAGCAAGTAGTTTGGTCGAGGGAAAAAGTGTACAAGAAAGCTCTTCAGCAATAATACCAGCTATTGTTTGAGCTGAAGAACAAGGTGATACTGCCTAGGGCTGAGAGAATATCTATCACCTCAATTGCGGACCTGGTTCTCCTAGAAGCACCGGCTTCCTTCTAATCTATTAGTCTTCCTGGCATCATGATTGAATACATACTGAAGATGGAAGACTTTAAGGATGGTAATCATGGTCTTCCTTACGGATTCCTCCTTACCAAGGTCTTTGAGAACTTTGAGGCTCCATTGGGAAAAGCGTATGTGGGGACTAGAAAGCACATGTTCAACATGACTACCCTGGAAGTGTGTAAGTGTGTGGTGAAGAAGGGAGGTGTGGGGAGCAACTCAACTATTTCTCAATTGATTGATGCTTAGGAGTCCGTTAATGAACGGTTATGAACCGTTTCATTAAATGTTATGGTGACGGATTTTAACCGTTGCAGTTGATACGAATAGTCGTTCCAATAGGGGAGAGGAAAAACCGTTGTGATAGACCATTTTATAGCAACGGTTATATGAACCGTTGCAAGAATCGTTCCTTAAGCTCTATTGGCACGTGAGCTGGTGGAACGGGCGCTAAACCGTTGTAATAGCTTAAAGAAACTGTTGTCATTTTCATAAATAGCCGTAACAATACCTTACATAACGTACACGCTATGCTAACGGTTATGAACTGTTGCATTAAATGTTATGGTAACGGATTTTAACCATTGTAGTTGATACGAATAGTCGTTCTAATAGGGGAGAGAAAAAACCGTTGCGATAGACCATTTTATAGCAACGGTTATATGAACCGTTGCAAGAATCGTTCCTTAAGCTCTATTGGCACGCGAGCTGGTGGAACGGGCGCTAAACCGTTGTAATAGCTTAAAGAAACTGTTGTCATTTCCATAAATAGCCGTAACAATACCTTACATAACGTACACGCTATGGTAATGGTTATGAACCGTTGCATTAAATGTTATGGTAACGGATTTTAACTGTTGTAATTGATACGAATAGTCGTTCCAATAGGGGAGAGGAAAAACCGTTGCGATAGACCATTGTATAGCAACGATTATATGAACTGTTGTACGAATCATTCCTTAAGCTCTATTGGCACGCGAGCTGGTGGAACGGGCGCTGAACCGTTGTAATAGCTTAAAGAAACTGTTGTCATTTCCATAAATAGCCGTAACAATACCTTACATAACGTACACGCTATGGTAACGGTTATGAACTGTTGCATTAAATGTTATGGTAACGGATTTTAACCATTATAGTTGATACGAATAGTCATTCTAATAGGGGAGAGAAAAAACCGTTGCGATAGACCATTTTATAGCAACGTTTATATGAACCGTTGCAAGAATCATTCCTTAAGCTCTATTCGCACGCGAGCTGGTAGAACGGGCGCTGAACCGTTGTAATAGCTCTAAGAAACTGTTGTCATTTTCATAAATAGCCGTAACAATACCTTACATAACCGTTGCAGTACACGCTATGGTAACAGTTATGAACTGTTGCATTAAATATTATGGTAACGGATTTTAACCATTGCAGTTGATACGAATAGTCGTTCTAATAGGGGAGAGGAAAAACCATTGTGATAGACCATTTTATAGCAATAGTTATATGAACCGTTGCAAGAATCGTTCCTTAAGCTCTATTGGCACGCGAGCTGGTAGAACGGGCGCTGAACCGTTGTAATAGCTTTAAGAAAGTGTTGTCATTTCCATAAATAGCCATAACAATACCTTACATAACCGTTGCAGTACACGCTATGGTAACGGTTATGAACCGTTGCATTAAATGTTATGGTAACAGATTTTAACCGCTGCAGTTGATACGAATAGTCGTTCCAATAGGGGAGAGGAAAAACCGCTGCGATAGACCATTTTATAGCAACGGTTATATGAACTGTTGCAAGAATCGTTCCTTAAG